GTAAGCTATCCAAAGCTGTTAGGATAGCTTTGGATAGCTTACAAATATTATATCTATATCTATATATATCTCCATGTGTGTGTGTAGTATGTAAAATAAATTTTAAAAACCATTTAAATTTTGGAAATATTAAAATTAAGCATGAAAACATCTAAAAGATTTAAGTCCCTTTCTAAAATGTAGCGAGGAAGAGGCCAGTCTCAACTGCTGTGGCAAATATTTGAGTATGGTCTCTCCATAGATAGAATAGAATTTCCTGCTGATATTTAAAGTACTAGAGGTAGCTATCCCATTAAGGACCTAAGAGCACCGGCAGATAATACAGGAGTAAGTTGGTAACTTTGGCAATAGATCTTTTGACTAAGCTCAGATTTTATAAGAGACAGCAAGCTAATGGAAGACAGTGTAAATACAATTTATAATGCAAAGTATATATTATATAACACATATATAATTTATAGGGTCTTTTCCCCCTAATTGGCATAGCTGGATTTTAGACCTGCATGTTTGCAATCTCTCCTACCTTCTATGTCAGTGATGGCTAACCATTTTGCCGTCACGTGCCAAAAGCTGGGGGAGCGCGGGGGTCACACAGGTGCATGCCCCCACCCATAATTCAATGTGCCCCGCCCCATGTGCATGCAGGCACGACCCCCCCTCCTGCACGACCCCCACTTTTGGCACATGATGGCATGGTGGGCCCGGTAGGCCTGTTTTTTACCCTTCCCAGGCTCCAGAAGCTTTCTTGGAGCCTGAAAACGGCCTTCCTCACCCCCCGGAGGCCCTCTGGAGGCCAGAAACGTCCCATTTCCCAACTTCCGGTGGGCCCAGAAGGCCTGAAAATCACCTGAGCTAGGGCAACGCTTGCATGCCCACAGATATGGCTCCGTGTGCCACCTGTGGCATGCGTGCCATAGGTTCACCATCACGATTCTATGTATTCTAATATTAGAAGGGAAACAACATTTTTTGGGGGGGATTGGAGCCTGAGTGGCGTAAGAGGCTAATGCCTCCTAAGGCAGCATTTAACATCCAGCTGCCTGTAATTACTGCGAGTTCAATTCTCACCAGGCTCAAGGTTGACTCAGCCTTCCATCCTTTCTAAGGTGGGTAAATTGAGGACCCAGTTTGTGGGGGCAATAATAATAATAATAATTATTGTTTAAATTTCTATACCGCCCTTCTCCAATATAGGACTCAGGGAGGTGAACAGCCAAAGTAAAAACAAGACATACAAAATCTAAAAACTGTTTAAAATAATTAAATATTTTGGCCGTAATTAAAACAATAAGCTGACTTTGTATAAATATACAAAAGTATGAAGGCTATTGCTTAACGCATTGTAAGCCGCCCTGAGTCTCTGGAGAAGGGCGGCATATAAATCAAATTTTTTTTTTAAAAAAATAGCAATATAGGTTCACAGATGGGGAAACCAGGAATTCTTGTGCAACACTTTTCTGCTTAAATTCAGATTCTTCTTTCATTTAGGTGACTATATTAATTAAGGGGTTTCGTGCATTCCTCAAACTTACCAGAGTTAGCTCAACAAAATGTGTAAATCTTTAAACGTTAGCTATTCATTGCTGCGGGTTCCAGATATATTTTCTGAAAGAAGCAGAACAACTTAAAACCTTCTCACTCACATGCCGCAAAACTCCCAGTGACCTCAAGATGGCAGCAAAGAATTTACTTTTAAATAAGTTTTTTATCTAAAGTCACTGGGATTCTTCCAAGCCAGGTATGCTAGCCTTATTAAATTGCTTTCATAGGACAGAACTATGTCAGAATAGGACAGAAGCCAAAGGTGCTTTTTTCTTCAAAAGGCAACTGGATTGGTGTGTTTTTTTTTCCACTTGAAGAGGAAGAAGAAAATGTTTCGCTTCTCATCCAAGAAGCTTCATCAGTTCTGATGGTGGGGAGATGGAAGGATAGGTTCTGATAGGATGGGGTGGGGGGTGAATGGAAGGATTGTATTTCTTTGCAGTCATCTGGTCTTTGCAGTCAGCTGTTGAAGCCACTTGGGGGTTTATCTGTGCCCTCAGGGTCACCTGAATCAGGGTGCAATTCGGTGGTGGGTTTCAATTTTTTTTACCATCGGTTCTGTGGGCGTGGCTTGGTGGGCGTGACAGGGGAAGGATACTATAAAATCTCCATTCCCTCCTCAATCCAGGGAAAGGTTACTGCAAAATCCCCATTTCCTCCTGATCAGCTGGGACTCAGGAGGCAGAGAATAGAGGGGGGCGGGGCCAGTCAGAATTTTTACTACCGGTTCTCCGAACTAGTCAAAATGTCCGCCACCGATTCTTCAGAACTGGTCAGAACCTGTTGAAACCCACCTCTGGTGCAATTGGTTGTGGAATCTTATTGGAAGGGCTGTAAGGGCTACTTTGTAAACTGGAAATAAGTAATGTCTTATTCCTCCCCCTCTGTTGAGGGAGGGGTGTACAATTTTAACACAGATAGAATTTTTTATCCCTCTTTCAGACCAATGGTTCTCTCT